TACGCTGGTTAACAAGGCGATTTTAGCAAGTGCACGTGTAGCCTGTTGTACAATGTCCTTGAGAAACAGGAACCTCCCGACGATGATAAATTGTTACAAATTTATTGATATAAGAAGCTCGATTTATACACTTTATACACACAATCGTCGAGTAAAACGATCGAGACGAGCCGAGCGTCGCGCAAAAGTGCTGAGTGTCTCTTATTTCTAATGCCATTGATTATAATAGCGTATGCCTTAATATTCTTCAGGCTTTTGGTCAGCGTCTGTCTTACGGAGTGTTTCGATTATTCAATGCGTTGCATACGGGATTCCACAGTATGATGTAACACACCTAAAAAAAAATAATTCCAGAACAAGCGGAATTATTTAAATTTTAGAGGATTTTATTCTTATATATGGCCTCAAGATTCAATTCCTCTCAAATTGAAAAGAAAATATTATAAACACATTCTAAAAATTAGAGGGATTATATAATGCAAATCTTATTGATCTTAATATAAACTTCCTCTTATACACAGGTGAGAGAAGTTTAATCTTTTTTTAAGAGGATTATTATTTATTCCTACTGTACTTTATTCTTACTGGTTATACTAGTTAATTCAAAAAAATTATTACAATGTACCGCGAAAAGTAATATATATATATATATATATATAAATTTCCAATCAGTTTTGTTATGGACTTCATAGCTACAAAGATGTTCATCATAACCAATTGTATGAAACATAGTTAAAAGAAAGAATATATTATTCAACTTCTTGCAATAAATTATAAACTGTATTTGACTAAATATGGGTAAATTATCTTCGTTATATGTTACAGCAACATACATACCTTTTTTCAAAAGCAATATTAGCCAATAAGTACACCCAGGATCGATTGATTTATTTCATAAATCACAAACAGCTCTTTCAGACATTTCAGGAAATGTCAGGACGCGTGTTCTCCCATCTTGAGATCTTTAGTGTTATATATCTTTAGTGTTATTCTTATTCTGTGGACCGTTTACATTTTTTGTATTTTATTTTCCGTTCTCCACCATTGTGAATCGAATGGTGCTAATCCCGTATATGAACATAAATAAATAAATACATTTTTCCGACAAACTCCGTCGGCAAAGTCGACTCGTCTAATCCGTGAAAACAAATCGCCTTCCCTGACGAGTATATAGATAATTAGTATATTACCAGTCGGATTAAGTCTCCGATAAATGCCGGGGAGATCTCTGTGATCGGTAGAGCGCGTTGATCACAGTTTACCGCCGAGCTTTTGTCCGAATCAGTTACATGTTTCAGGCCGGGCCGCGAACTAATTAATTCCAACGTACCAGCGCGTAAAGCCGAATTCATAGCCCGTGGAGAGGACGCATAAATTCGGCCAGAGCAGGCGGTAAAGCCCGTTCCGTTCCGAGGACTGTGCATACTTGGCCGAACCTTGATGGTTACGAAGCGGGCTCAGCCGGAGCTTCCCCATCCCGAACTGCAATTTTCGGACACATTTATTGCAGTACATAAAAGTCCATCAAGCCTGTAGGACAAGACGGCGAAGGGCATCGTGCTCGCGCGCAAACGCGCCGAGAATTCACCTCCGACGGAGCGCGACGAACCCGGGCGGAAGAGAACGGAACGGCAGGGACAGGTGTCGGTGTTAATTTAATCGCAGTTGTATCGCGCTTGAAATGAACTAACGAGAGAGTGCCGCGAGACGACGCACGGTTACCGTTAACCTTGCGTCGTGTATATCAATTGGCGGTAAGCGTGTGTGCAACATTTGGCTTAATGGCCAATTTCAATTTTGCGCCGAGTGTCTTTATATATTTCACTCGATTTTATGCTGCAATTTATTTTATATGCAATTTATATATACAATTTATTGCGCGTAGTGAAATTGCGCGCCCGCAATACGCGAGCAATCGATGGCGTTTATATACCGCCGCGACAGGAACTATCGGCGCGACATCGTTTTTCAAAAATTCATTTCCGCCGGCCCGTCGTCCGGATTGGATTTCGAGCGGCCGGTTTGCGCGCGAGATGGCTACCGCGTTGGCTATCCAAAGGTGTGCGAGAAGTGTATCATCATTATTTGCAGCTCCAAAGTTTCATACGCGTGAAAAACATCGGTCCTCTCTCTCTCTCTCTCTCTCTCTCTCTGTCTCTCGCTCCGCGACAACGAGACACCGACCACAGACATCGAGTTCCATTCCCTGCAGATTACTCTGAGCGTCTCCTCGGAGATGCCTAAATCTCGAACCCCATTTGCGTCGGGGCTGTGTTTCCGGACTTAACGCTGTTTCCTTGTAAACTTACGATCCGCCACCGCGAATTGCCGCGGCCTAATGGCCGTGACGCGTTGCCGAGCGAGCCGGAGCGGCCTCGGCAGCGCGTGAAGTGTTCTTCGCACGCTCCGAGGACCCGGGGCGCCGGTCTTCCTCACTTCGGTTCGTTCGAGCGGAACTGATATCTACCCTCGGAATCAGCTTCGTAACGAAATACCGGCCGGCTGCGGCCGAGCGCTTAGGGTCAGCTAGCGAATAGCCGGTTTCCAGGGCGCCGCGCCGACGGTTTTCAGACCCGGGAGTCTTGGCTCACCTTCGAGTAAGATACCCTTCACGGCAGGGTGAAGAGCGCCGTGAAGAGATCGTCGCGCGATCGATGTATGCGTACTTCTCTCCAATAAGACCGCCGAGGGAGCCGTTCTATTTCCGGCCGCTCGATCGCTGGCGCTCCAGTCCTTTCGCGAAACTATTACGCGACGGAGAAACGCGCGACAAACGACTAGGGTGCGAGTCAAGTTGCGAGGGAGAGAACATCGGTCGGTCGATCGGTCGGTCGGTCGGTCCGTCGGTCGGCTGCTTGCTCGCTTGCTAGCTTGCTTGCCTGCTTGCTTGCTTGCTTGGTCGAGGGGACGAGAGGCGGGGGCAGGCACAAAAAAGGCGCTTGTCTCTGTTTTTGTACCTGTGCGTCGTCGTAGCCGCGGGGGCGCTGCTGCATGCAAAAGATAGGACGTGCGCCGCAATCTGAACGAAATCTCCAAACCCAATTTCCTGGACAGACAGACAGACAGACAGACAGACAGACAGACAGACAGACAGACAGACGGGGCAGGCAGACAGACGAACGGACCAACGGCGTTGCACGCGGGCAAATCGTGGACCGCTCGCTCGCACTACCGACGACATCGATCTCGACTGCGGAGGAGGGAGGGCAGGGGGAGACGGAGGGATGCACCGAGACCGAATACGGTTTTAATAATGCATCGCTGTGACTTCGCGCGCGCGCGCGCGCGCCTCGTCTTATCGGCCGGCACGTTCGAGTCCGCATCGATTGAATAAATAATTCGCCAACACGGCCGGAAATATGAATCGTCGTTGAGATAACGCGCAAAACGCCACGTTCGCTAGATTCATGAAGTATTAAGAGCCGCACACAGAGAGATCAGATCCTGCGCGCGCGCGCGTGCAGGTCCAGCCGACGCGCGTATATGCTTTTTAATAAAGCAACGACTACTTGTTTGCCAGGATGCTCGAGCGCTCGCGAGCATTATTCGATTTCACGAGTGGCCGACAAATATCTTCTCGCGTATTTGAATACGCGCGTTTCTCCGCTACCACGTTCCCCGGAGTCCGTTAATGGCGAAAGTGCCGCCATTAAGCGCCGTTAATCGTGCGCGCCTGGCGTTTTTAAATAGCGCGGCGATTGTTTCCCGTCGGATCCCGAAATGGACTGTTGTCGCGTCGGGAGGAAGGGAGGATTTATATTATATGACAATAGTGATAACTGAAGAAGGCAAAAATCGCGAAGGTAAAATCTCCTCGACGCCCCGATGAAATTGTGAGCGTGATTACGCGACACGCAACACTGACATAATTTCGTGCGCGCTGGAAATATCGAAATAATATTGTCGTTACGCGTACACTCGTTGTTATTGTTTCTCTACTAATTATGTCAAACGATATTACGATTATATCATAATGTTTGCGCAAAATGATTGACAGATAGCGTCGCCGCTGGTTAATACAGCTATGATTGTTTTATCGAATTCGATTTTACCGTCTAACAATTTTGCGAGGCACAGACCCGCGGTGTGTACCGTGTGCCCGCGTTCAACGACCCTTCGGTTAACGCGGGTCACGGTAATTTTAGACATGACGTTCATTTGCCGGCAGAAACTGTCTATTAGATAATTCTGATGAGCGCATTATTCGGCGCAAAAGCAGGGAACTAATTCATCATACAGCGCTAACTTATTGAAGCTCACGGCTCACGGAGAGCTCAAGTGACGAGAAAGCTTTATCTTTAGTCGCCAAATGTAATCTATTTTCTATCCAATTAACGGACTCGAAAACTGATTCAATTTCACGTTAATTAATACATTATCCTTCGCTACGGTAATACCCCCGGTGACGGCCGAAAATTTATATTTACACTATCATTGTGCATAATCAATTATGAAACTGAATCCACTGGCGGAAATTTTGAGTTATTCACAAGGGAACAGCTGAACGATGGAAGAAATATCCCGAGTCCAAATTTTGATCTCGCTTCCAACCGCAATGCACCATTTAACACTCAATTTAATACTCTGAATCCAATACCGACCTATTTTGATTGTATTTAATCTACAGCTTCAAATCCTCTCAAAAACCTTAAAAAAACACAGGTGGCAAATTGTGCTTTTTTTCTGCCATTTAGAGAGACGTTGAGTGTACAGGCTTTAATTTAATTTTTATATAAATCAAATCTCCCCTCCCCCCCTCCCCAGAATCTACAGATGTTATTATCCAGTTCAGATCGAAAATAGAATCAAAATTTCGACTTGGGCTTGCTTCTTCTATAAGCATTTAATTTTGAAAAATACAATTTCTTCGTGACGCATCTTCGAATAATTCTGCATGTCTTTGACGATTAATCGTATTGATCACGTATCATCATATTCATCGCCATGTCGTTTATCTCGAAGGAGAAGAAACTTAACCGCAATGTCCATATGTTTTCTAGGTGAAAGTCATGCTGAGAGTGTCATCCGGAGATGGAGGGAGCTTCTTCAATGCGGACAAACGGAAAAAGCAAGTCACCTTAGTGGACCCAGCTTCTGGACAATCCTCATCGGCAGAGGATCGCAGACCCACTGTAGCGGCGCCGAAGATGTTCGCGTTCGATGCCATCTTCACCGAGGAGGACTCCCAAGTAAGACGACATAAAATGAAGATAAAATCAATCTAGCTATTTATATCTCTTTACTAATTGACTGTTGCTTTGCACGACTTTCCAATGCGTACACTGCAAACCCGAGTGTGTTATTTTGACGCGTGTAAGCTGAAGCTTCCTTTACGCGTATCTTGTTGTCTTAAATCACGTGGTTTAACGCGTTTAAACGCGTTAAGTGATATCGAAATGCATCAGATGACGTGATTTCAGACGACAAAAAACGCGTGAAGAAAGCTTCAGCTTATACGTGTCAAAATAACACACTCGGGTTTGCAGTGCAATCGATGAATTCAAAACAACGTTGGATGTACTCGTGATATTATTCATTGCAGCTACACAGAGCGGACCAGTCGTACAAATAAAGAGAAATTCGCAAAGAAGTCTAACGGAGATATGCGTGCGATGCGCTTTTAGAAAACAGAATAAAATTTTCACTCCGACGACGCAATTTTCGCACGAATGCGAATTTCGCAAGTTTTCTGATTAGTGTGTAGCCGACGCGACGCACGTACTTGACACTCATCTGTCATGAAAGTATCCGAAATACTTTACCGGGATTAAGTCGACAGCCAGCGGGACTTAATTTCTTCCATTCAGAGCGCCCCGTTAACGTTTCAAATTTCAAATGGCACTCGAGCGCGGCGCAGCGAACAAAGCGGCACTTATAACGAGCGCGTTTAAGGTCGCCCGCTCGATAGTCGAGGGAATTTGCACGCGCGAGCACGAGAGAGAAAGAGAGAGGGACAGAGAGTGAGAGAAAGACAGCAGAGAGAGTGAGAGAGAGAAAGAGAGAGAAAAAGGGGGAGGGGGAGGGGGAGGGATCTCGAGTCAATGACGTCTTCGTCGGCCAGCTGCTCCGGAGTAAGTAGCAACAGCCCTCAATGAAGGGTAGTTGCTACTCCGTCCTTGAGGACGCTCGCTCGGTTTACTCTCGCCTTGGAAAATCCTCTTCCCCGCTCGATTCCTCGAGGAGCCGCTAGCCGAGGCTCGATTCTTCGGAATTCGCGACGAATGAGCGGGAGAAAACGGGCGCGGTGCGAAGATAGGGAAGGAGTTTGCGAGAAATAAAAGAGGGAGGGGAAAAGAGAGAGTTAGGGTGCAAAGAGAGAGAGAGAGAGAGAGAGAGAGAGAGAGAGACAGAGTGTGAGGGAGAGGAGTCGGCGGGAGGGGGAAAGAGTCCTGGAACATGTACGTGCTCCGCCGAGGACTTACGTCCGCAGTGGAAACGTAAGAGACGTCCCTGCCGGGCGCATAACTAAACTAATTTCCCGACCTCTAAACTCCACCTCCGACAGGAAAATCCATCCCTTCAGGCGAATGTTGCTCTTTGCCTGTGACTTCCCCGGTTGCTACCGAGAGACCCAGACTTCGACAGTGTCCTCAGGACACTTTATCGTGTTATCATACACGTAAGCGCAGTATTTTTTCATTCACACACACACACATACACACATACATATATAACATAAATTGTAATTTATTACTTAAAAGTGCTTAAAAATATATTTATATATTTTTTTAATACATGTATATATAAAAAATATTTTTTTAAGTAAGAGAAGGAAAGAGAGAGAGAGAGAGAGAGAGAGAGAGAGAGAGAGAGAGAGAGAGAGAGAGAGAGAGATTTATATATTACGGCAGGCAGTTTGTCTATAACATAGGCAGTCTGAAAAGTTCCCGACCTGACACATACATGGCATTAGAAACTGCCAAACTATAATTGTACTGGAAAGTGACATCCCTGATATAAACCCATGTAAAATTTTATTCGATCTGTCAAATCATTCGAATAGTAGCACCAGTTGAAAAAGCTTTGTGTAAGATGGGTGCCGCATTTGCTAACAATTGACCAAAAACGCATTCGAGTGCGTATTTCTCAAGCGTGTTTGGATCGTTCTAAGCAAAATAGAATTGATTTCAAGTGTCGTTTCATAACTGTTGATGAAACTCGGATCCACCACTATACACCAGAGCGAAAAGAACCTTCCGGAGTCACACTTTAATGATGGTATTGAATTATTGGAAAAATGTTGGAACAAATGTATTGAAGTTTCAGGAGATTATATTGAAAAATAAGACATATTTCACGGCAAAGAGAATTTTCTTTCATTGTTAGGCCGAGAACTTTTCAGACTGCCCTCTTGTACATAAATTTTTTTAATTAATAAATATATTTAAATAAGCAATTTTATATATTTTTCTACATATACATTCACACATGTATATATATTAATTATTGTAAAAAGTAAAAGAAAGAGAGAGAGAGAGAGAGAGAGAGGGAGAATTCTATAAAATAAGATACCCAATTTCTTTTCACCATCAAAATTTATAACTCCGCAATTTGTAACAGAAAATGCACGAATTTCTAAAACGCAAGACATTCAGACGATGATATAACACGGTAAACGGCATATTTGAGTTAATCATCTTTTGGAGATTCACCGACCGTTATCGACAGCATCGAAAATTACTGTAGAGGCCGCGCGGTCTCCGTGTCAACGATCCGTTGTACGAATTGTACGCTGTGCGACCTTGATGGATGACACCCCGTCGAAGCAAATATCGTCCAAAATCGTAAGCCACGCCGTAGTACAATACATACGCACATTGAGATATTTCGGTGCTCCTGTGGGACATTATTGAACGTCGGATTCAAATGAGCCCGGAGCTACTGAGTATACCCGGATCCCTCTCGCTCTTCGCTCTAACAGCTCTTTCTCGTCCTCTATCTCTCCGTTCCCTCATCGTATACCGCCTCCAGAGACTTTCCTGCCTACACCTCTCTCCCTCTCTCTCCCCCCTCTCTCTCTCTCTCTCTCTCTTCTTTCGCTCTCTGCGGTATTTCTTCCTCGCCGCAGCTACGTTTAGAAGAACCATAGAAACCAATCGATTGATTCGATCAAATATACGTTGGCTATGGCGATTGTCATTGAAGGACACAATAGGCCCTTCCTCCTCCTCCTCCTCCTCCTCCTCCTCCTCCTCTCCCTCCTCTTCTGTCATCTATTCTCCTCTATTCTCTATTATCCATCCTTTATCCTCCATCCTCTATTCTCTATCCTGTGTCCTGTCTCTCTAACTCTTTCCCCTTTCCTCCCTGCGTGCGGTCCATCGAACCGAATCAGCTGGGCTTCTGGGCTCGTGGGATGAAAGAGTCGAATTCGAAAGAGCGAGCGTCCCAGCGCCCCCATCGTGACTTTCCATCCTTCCCGATTGGCCGTCAAACACACTCTCGCTTGAATATTTTAAAGACCGCCGCGTCACCGGCCCAATCACAGGGCAAGCAATCGTTCATCATCAAACCGGCAATCTCTTTGACGTTTTTTGTGAAATCGCGAGGATCGATGGTACCGATCTCTCCGCCCTCGCCGAAAGTTCCGCTATCGGTGTCGAGACGCCGTTCAAACTTGCCAATGGACGATTGCTGCCGTAACACGCAAAATTTTTCTCTTTCACGTCAAGATTCTCGCGGTTGTCGGGATGAAAAGAGTTCGAACTCAGTTGCTTCTTTTATTATTAATTTCCCAGGTACCGTGAGTAGTTGATTAAGTCAAAGTCAAAGAGAGTCGGCTCTGCCTTTTTCAAGAGTCGCGAGAGGTGCGACGATGCGGAAATCAGGTTTTACGCAAACACGTGCTTGCGGAATATAGAAGATACAGCTTACAACGACACGTTACTTTTTGTGCTGAGAGTCAAACGCTGAGACGAACATAAAATATATGAGATCGGATGCGAAGCAATTTTCAACTGACAAGCAAAATGATACATCGCGGCAGCGACCTGGACATTTATCGACAGTGTCCATCTGCCGATGACGGTAATTTTAGCGGCAACATAATCCGCTCACTGTGGTATATTTGCGCGCTGTGTATCGGCCGGCATCTCCATAAATACACCCCGCGGGCACAGTGACGTCTATGTATTTGAACGGCAAGTTAGCAAGGATGTCCGCCGGCTGAAGAAAATATCGGTTAATCGGAGCTGCAGTTGCGCTGTTTGCGACGAGCAAGCTATAAGCGCAGTCTTAATTTACAAATATTAATACTTCTCAATCGGTTAAACATGAATAAAATCTGCACTTCTGGTACGGCTCATTGGACAAAGCCCGCGGTAAATACTGATGAGACGGCAGAGTGACGGAACAGTCATTGGGGGTCAGCCATTCTCTCGAGGCGCGCGTAATAAAAATTATTACCCGAGCTGCAAGTTCGTACATTCGTGTATCGGCAAAGGAATATCGGGTAATCGAGTTTATCCCTCGGAACAGCAAATAACGCAGCGGGAGGCGGGAGGAAGCGACGAAGAAATCCTTCCGAGGAAATCCGTCCTCGAGAGCGCAATTTGTGCGAAACTTTCTTTTCGCGTATTTGACCGCGCCGACACGCGACTCGCGGCTACGTGTATTGAACAATTTATCGGAAACAATACACGGCCGAGTGGAAAACTCACAGGCTCCGATGTAATGACTCCTCGGATATCTCATATCTCTTCGGAAAACGCTATTTACTTCAACTTCAATATGGAGTTCTCTATATGTATGATATATTTTCGCCGGGGCGCTCAACGCGCAACTCCGTAGAAAGTTTCAGTTTAATTTCCTTTATTAATAAAGATTAATGAAATTAAAATCCTTGTGTGATAACATTTATAATAATTATTAAACTCTTATTTTCTGCAAATATTTATAATAATTATTAAATTCTTACTGCCTGATAGGAAAATATAGTTGAATCAACTATATAATCTCACTGTATTTTATAGTTAATTTTGGAGTCAACCATATTTTTATAGTTCGTGGAAACCTGCAAAATATAGTAGACTAAACACAAATATATAGTCAATGATTGTCTTAAATAATTGTTTAGTTACTTTTACCACCTATATGGTTAGGTTTCTCATTCACAAATATAATGAGATTTAATATTCATGTAGTTACATCTGTCATCATTTAGCAAATATTCCGGTAACATTGACTATAT